TGACTAAGGTATTATAGTTTTCCTATTTTTGTTTCATTGTTGGTTCTATTTATTTTGAAGATTTTTTCATGATTTATTTTGCAACTCTATTTGCGTAAGATGTTTTTAATATTCCTTTACAAAACCACATCTGGAAAACTTTTTCCTTTTCCTCGCCTTCGCTTTAGGATGACTACTTCAATATCCTTTAAAACGATACTAAATATGTATATATACATACATTTTTTTCATTTGAAACGGATCCACCCTCAATATTTTCGAAATGCGACATACACATGTCTTCTTCTTGAATTCTTATATGTAGTTTGCTTTTATTTTAAATAACCGCAAACTGTGATGATGTCACACATTTATATTTTAAAGAAAAACTTATGTTTTTTTTCAAAATTAAATAGACAATGAAATTATATCTTCTTCTTTCTCCTCTTTATAAGCAATTGTCTAGAGTCAAGAGTCTAAATGTTTGTTTGAGTTATCAATTTTCAATTTTCGCAGATATATTTCCAATTTCATCAACCGACGAACTGAGTCCGGCACTGGCAGTTCGTGATATTTTACCAATAATCTATGTTTTGATCTAAAAATAACGTCTACTTTTTGGCTACCGGGTAATGTTTATTTAAAAATATAAAACAAAAATGACCACGTTAATTTAAAATGTAAAATCTTTTCACTTGCAATCATGACCAGTTTGAAATTTGTTCCTTATAATCAGTTCTACTGGCAAAGACCAAAATACGTAAGTTTTTAAAAGTTTTGTATATATCTGAATAATTACAATTTTTGTTGCTTCTTAGTACCTGCTTGATTTTTGTCAAATATCTTTACCAAAAACTTAAAGTTAACAACATAAGTTGCTGGATATTTTCCTGTGAATTTTCTTCAATTTATTCTTCTATCAGTACAATATCTAACCATCGAACACTGACGATCATATTGGCAATAATAACTTTGTTTACGGCAACTCCAAACAGATAAGTGGTCTCTTGCCATCTTTACTACTCTATTTGTTGTCATTTGCCTTATAAGATCGTTCCATTTTACTCTTCTATTTCTTACCCAGTTCTTGATGTTCTTCTCTATGGTCTTACCATCAAGTGTTTTTATATCTGCTGTTTCTGACATCGTTTTTGTCCTCTCTGTGTCATGTCGTGTTTCTGCCTCTTATGTCATTATTGATCTGATGACTGTTTTGTAAATTCTGCCTTTTATTTCTTTCTATTTTTATTTCGATATTTTTATTTCTCCATATTGTCTCATTTAGGCAACCAGCGGCTCTGTAATAGGATTAGGTAACATGGCGACATATGACTCCATGTTGAAGTTGCTTAAACCAACGGTAACTTTAACATCTTAAGTCATTATAAGAAAATTTGTAAACCAAATGTAATTAATTATTTGTTAACGGGTTTTTACCCATATATTTAGTGGCTACATTCATGTACTCTTAGACACTGATGATGGAATATGGATTCCGAAAACGTTTTGTCTTTTTAACTTAGCCCGTTTGGGTTCTTAATATATACCTTTTACAAAGGATTTTTAATAAATGTTTTCTCCCATTTGGCATCCTTTTTTAGTTCTTATTTTTATTTCATCCATAATCAGGATGAACACTAGAGGACTCAGAGAATCTTCCTGTCTTATGCCATTGCCAGCTTCAATAGGGTCGGTTAGTTCTGCTTCTACTTTTACGATTATTTTTTTTTTTTTTGTAGATATTCTCGATCGTTTTGTTTATTCCTAGAGGTATCTCTTTTGCGTATAATAAGTGGATAACGACCTTTATTTTGATCCCGTCAAATGCCGTCTTCTTCTTCTTACGGTGCCTTATCCTTAAGGACGTTGGCCATTACATTTGCCCATTTAATCTTATTTGTAGCAGCCCTGAATAGTTCTATGGAGGTCATGTTCGTCCATTGCCGTAGGTTTTTAAGCCAAGAGTTGCGTCTTCTTCCTGGTCCTCTTTTGCTATTGACTTTGCCTTCGGTCACAAGTTGGAGCAGTTCATATTTTTGATTTCTTATGATGTGACCAAAATATTGTGTTTTCCGTTCTTTTATTATAAGCATAAGCTCTCTTTCCTTATTCATCCTCCGCAAGACTTCCGCATTTGTCGTATGGCTCATGTAGGATATTCTGAGCATTTTACGGTAACACCAGAGTTCGAATGCTTGGATTCTTTTTTGTGTTGCTTCTGTCATTGTCCAGGCTTCAACACCATAGAGCAAGGTAGAGAAAACATAGCCCTTAAGTATTCTAGTTCTCAATGAGATGCCCAGCTGGCGGTTGCATAGAACTTTTTGCATTTTGTAAAACATTGTACGTGCCTTTTTCAGGCGTATTTTTATCTCTAGTGAGTGGTCCCAAGTTTCATCCCAAGATTACTTCCAAGGTACGTTGTTCTTGTTACTCTTTCCAGATCTGTTCCGTCGACATTGATCTTCACCCTTCTGTTTTGGTGCTTGCTGATGACCATCGTTTTTGTCTTCTTTGTATTCAATTTCATTCCAAATTATCTACAGGCTGTCGTTCCTCGGTCCATTAGCATATTGCAGGTTATTTATACATTGCCGTTTATAATTATACCATCCGAGTTGCCTTCCAAAGCTTTCTGATATATCTTCTCAGAGTAAACATTGAACAGCAAAGGTGATAGGACACATCTCTGTCTTACTCCCTTCTCGATATTGATTTTTCCAGATGTGTCGCTTTTTATTCTGATTTTAGCCTTTTGTTCTTGGTAGAGATTTGAAATAATCCTTAAGTCTTTATCGTCGATATTACATGACCTTAAAATATCTATTAGTTTATCATGTTTCACCAGGTCAAACGCCTGGTGAAACTATAGTCTATAAAACACAAGTATACATCAGAATCGACATCTCTACATCTTTCAACTAGCACACGTATTGAAAAAAGTGCTTCTCTTGTTCCGAACCCATTCTTAAAACCAAACTGAGTTTGACCAGTGTGTTCGTCTAGTCTAGGGAATGCCGTCTTAAGGTCCACAAAACATAGATATACCGGTTTGTTGTATTCCAGCATAACCTAAAACCTTGTTGTTTTTCTGCTTGTGTTATAATTTCATTCAGTTTATTTGTTAACACTTTGGTTGTTAATTTTAGTGTTGTGTTTAATAAATTAATTCCTTTGTAATTTTCTGGGTCTGATTTGTCTCCCTTTTTGATGAGGGGTATTAGGATGCTCGATCACCATTGTTGAGAAATTCTATTTTGTTCTATTATTTTTTGGATTAGTTTTAATAGTTGTTTGGTCTGGTCCTCCTTACTTTAGGAGTTCGGTCGGTAATCTGTTCAGATTCGAAAAAAGTTATAAAGGAAAAAGGGCAAAAATATTCACTTGATACTAGGAAGGATGAATTGTTTAATATTGATCAGAATCTATGGCAGCTCCTAAGCTGTTTAAGGTTTTGGATGCGTGAGAATATAAGAAATAATAATCTTGATATTATTAAGAGGAAGGACTTAAGTGTGTTGATATTGTTAGTTTCACCTTTACCGAAAACAATCACACTGAGTTCTATGTTATGTTCGTGGCATTTCTCGATTGTTTCTGTAATTATGTGGATCGCATCTGTAGTGAATCTGCCTTCTCTGAATCATTGCTAGTAATCCCAAATTTTTGTGAGTTTTTGCTTAATTTTGTATGTTATACTCAGTAGAGATATTTCTCTTTAGTTGTTATACACTGTTACTTCTCCTTTATTAAATATTGATATAACTTTGCCTCCTTTCCAATCCTCGGGCATTACTTCTGCTTCCCATATTCTAACTATTAGGTATAAAAGCTTGTTCATAATGTTTCCCCTTCGTTTTTAATCAGCTCGTTGAGATTTTCCTCTAGGCCAGGTGTATTTCCTGTTTCATTTTTTTTATGACGTAAATGTTCCATGTGTTGCCTTATTGCATTATCCCTCATGTTTTCTGTTGCACATACTTTCTCTTCAGCTCTATTTGCATCTACATAGTTTTGTGAAGTGTGTTTCCCATGATCCATTGTCAATTTTACCCACTGGTCTGCATTTTCTTTGTAGAACTTTTAGGTCTTCTGGGACTCTGCTAGATTCTTTAGTAGCTCCTCCATCTTTTTTTGATTTTGCAACATTGGTCTGATACTTTCTTTTTATCTTTGTATTTATTTCGATGATGTTCTTCTTTATTTATTTCTTACTTGGTTTTCTGTTTAATTTTGGTTTTGAATTCTGTATTGAACAATTTTTTTTCTTCTTTTTATTTCCCTCTGTAGATCATAATGTAATCGAGTAAAATTACTATAAATATTTGTCAAAACATAAAAATGAATTATTATAAGTAGGCAGATTTCAATATAAACATTTATTAGATTAATTTTATAGGTTTTTGAAATATATTTTTAATGTTTTATATTTAATAGGTAATAAACTGATTTTAGTTTAATTTTCATATTTCTAAAGCAATTTTTTTACACCGTATACCTACAACAAATAACACCGTCTGTTACCAGTTTCTATAGTTCTAAGTTATAGGATAAAATTGCCAGCCACAAATTTAACATAAATTCATGTCAGATATTGCAAAACTGCAAGTTTTTGTCCTTACCAAAAGTCCTCTTCCTTTTAACTGACATTTTTCTCTCTGATGTGTTGATTTGTAGATCCATTTCATTGTTTATTTCCCTCATCTTTCAGATTAATTCCTCGATTTGTAGCTTTGCGAGTAATTCATTCCCTATATAAATTAAACAAAACTATACCAAATGGGCTAAAAAATGTAGCTTTTTAGTTCTCCTTTATGTGTCCAGAACACTTAATCTTCTGCTCTTATTTTGGCGTGTGCAGATGTGTACAAATTACTAGTAAGTTGGATAAGATGATGCATAATCCCATCTGTCATTATACTTCAAAGTTTATTTAACTTCACCTGATCAAATACCTTTTGACAGTCGATAAAACATAATATATACATAATATATACTTAAAAAGTGTTTATTGTTTTCAGGAAACCATAATGAGTGCTACAATGTTTACAAAAATCCCAGAAACGACCAAAACTAAAATTCCTGTTCCTGCCAGTCCCACTCCGCTACGTAGACATAACAGTCTTCGCTTGAGGGGTGAAAAACCCTTTACTTATCCGATAGGGAAGCGGCGTGATGAAGAAAACAACATTATTATAGCCAAGGAAAGGTAGGATCAAAGTTTAACTTAAATCAAAAAATAATATTAGGATGAGAAAATGATTTTCGTCCAACTTAAGCTATTACGATAAAAATTTAATTTGAGAACGTGTTTTATTAGTACTATATAAACGTTGATTTTTGCACTGCTTTTCATAGTTTAGCTGTAAATTCTGGCAGTTTGATATTCTTATTAGGGACCTTTCTACTCGTATATTTTGAGTGCAACTCTCAAGTCTAATTTCAGTTCTCTTGCACAAAGTACCTTTCTCATTTTATTGAAGTCAGGTTTTCATCATTATTTTGGGTTTTTAATATTCTCATAAATTTAATTTTCTTGATGTTTATTGATAATCTATATTCTTCTCCATACTCAATTATCTTGTTCATTAGCTTTTAGAGGTCTTAGAGGTTGTCTGCTATTAGGATAGTATCGTCCGCATTTCTAATATTGTTATTTGGTCTTCCATTGACCTTGACCATTCCTGCTGCTTCTCCCTCAAGAGCTCTTTTCATCATTTCTTCAGAGTATGCTTTGAATAGTAGTGGTGACAATACACGCCGCTGTCGCACTCCTCTTTTAATTTAGAACTCTTCTGATGTGTGTTCATTAATGTATTATATGTGACGAAGGTCATTGTATTGTAATTATTTTGCTTTGAGGAGGTCCATTAGCTCTTTGTGGTGGACTTTATCGAAAGCCTTGTTGTCATCTATCAATCAGTCGTACATATCTTGGTTCACATCCAAGCATCTCTGGATTAGTACGTTGAATACAAAGAGAGCTTTACTGGTACCTCCGCCTCTACCGAATCCAAATTGGGTTTCTTCAATATCCATATCAAGTATTTGGTAAATGCGTTTATGGATGATTTTTAAAAATATTTTAGTGTGTGAGACATCAGGCTTGGTGCTGTGGTCAGTGCATTCTCTATCTTTTTTCTTTTTTGGGAGACAAATAAATGTTGAGGTCAACCATTCATTGGGTATTTTATCCGACTGATCAATTTCGAACTGTTATCGAAAGATATGTCTTGTAGGTTTCTTCTTTCGTTGTCAAAGAGCTCTTCTATATATTCTTTCCATCGTTTTAGTTTTTGTCAGTCGTTATCATAGTATTTCCATTTTTATCTAAAAGAGTTGTGTTGTGGTTTCTTTTTTACAGCTCTGCCGTTTCTTTAACCTTTTTATGTAGGTTAAATAGGTTGTATTTGTTCTGAAGATGTTCTATCTCTTTACATTTTCCCTCATAGTAAGTTTGTTTCTCTTAGAATCAAGAGAAGTCAAGAGATCTCTTATCATTTTTCTGATTTCATTGTTAATGATTTACTGCTCCATAAATTTTGCCATGGAAAAATTATTAGAGGAGGCAACAAAGTACCGCTTCCTGAAATGCAGACTATTACGGTAGTATTTTCCTTTCCTGATCCCTCTATGTTCCGGTGAACTTTCTGACCAATACCAGCAACGCCTTTTATTCTATTTAGATCGGAAGAAAAACTGGTCTCGTCTAAATATCACGTATGACCGGGCTTACCTTGCAATTTGAAATCAGATATAGATATGCAAGTATTCAGGCAATCGTAAAAGCCAAAGATGATGAATGGATCACTTGTAGCTGACCTTCTATATCTTTCCAGTTGCTCAAGCTTTTTTGACTTGATCTATTACGCTTGCAAAATTTTTTAAACTACTCTGCCAGGTTTTTCTTCCTTAAACTGGGTAGTAAAGTGGTTTTCTTGTATATAGTTTTGAACTATTGCTTGTATCTCCGGTTTAGTGAGAACAAACCCCCATTTTGCCATAATTTTTATCTTACCACTTAAGTCTTTTTCAATTTCTTTGGTTAGAGAAGTTTTTCTTCCCTGTTTACCAAGTACACTAGTACGTCTTCTTGAAATAGCAGATTTGTCAATTTTAAACTGTGTAGCTGCACTTCTAAGAGATAAAGTGCCATCCTCTATTAGCTTTAGGGCTGTTTCCATTCCTTTTTGTCGTAGGGGCGCTTTTTGGGAACTTAAACCTTCGGCATTATTATTAAAGGTATAAAAACGTCTTTTTTTTTAACTTGGTGGTGTCTCGTTTTTGCACCTGTTATTTACGACGTGCTAGCTTGCCAACGAATGAAGATAGACTAAACTCGTTACGGAATAACAAAGCCGCATGTGCTACTTTAGAAATCCGAGACTTTTTAGGAGTCTTTAGGATCTCGTACAGCAGCGCAACAGGAAAAGTTCGTATATACAATTTTAAAAGTTTTTTTTTTAAGCAACATGCACAGTCAGATACGATAGTTTTTTCTCATGTTTGTGTTTACTTTTATTTACTATTCATTGCATATTTCAATTGTATATATATGGAAGTAATTTGTAACGTATATTTTATAAGGTTATTGTTTTTTGCATTAGAAAAAATTGAATGTCTTGTTTTTGACCGTAATTTCGGCTGTCTCATTTTTGCACCACTTGACCCTATATTTATTATTATATATTTCCTATAATATTTTATATTATATAAATTTTCTATATTATTTTTATATTATTCTATTTTCTATATTATTTTATATTATATATTATTTTATATTATATCCTAAATATATTTCTTGTATATATATTTCCTAAGTACAACTAAAATTGACTGTACTATTAGCCCAGATCAGAACCACACGGCAAGCAAGGATCGCAACCACAATAATCGATTCTCCTTTTCGGAAACAACGCACCACCAGTCCTCGTTCAACCCTCCTTTACAACGGGGGCGATCGTTCATGGAGAGGAGCGACCGGGGGGTACAACATGGAGCTAAGAGACCGGAAAATATGAAAATCGGGAATCGAAGTCCCGTAGAGGTGCTAAAAGGTGGTACTACCCCAGTATCGCCCAGTAGAGTGAGAAGTCTGGTAAGTAGGTTAAAAAATTAATTATTTATAAGGGTTTTTGGGTTAGGCTAGGTGTTAGCGAACGATAACGGTTATAGGTGAAGGTCAAACGTACGTGTATCCCCATATTCTTAAAAAAAGATTGTAAATCCCAAGTATATAGTCAACATTTTCAATAAAAGTTACATTTTATATTAAGCTAATAAAACTGTACTTAAAAAACTTATGTTTATTTAGGAATTTTAATAATTTAACACAGTTTCACTGTTAGTTGCAATTTGCAATATATTTATTATTTTTTGAATAAAGTGCGATCTTTGAACGTTAAAACTCCCCAAAAATGTAATACCTACAATATCAGAACATTGGAGAAAGAACAGATTAACTAATATTTTATCCCTTTTTGTGTTTTGTTCTTCTTATGGTACCATCTAATTTATATCTCGTGAACCTCGAAACAGAGAATGTCCAACTATGTTTTTCGATCACGAATGTTTGCGTCTTCCGTAACCCCTGTTTGCTGTTATTTTTTCTTTGATATTTATTTTCAATAAATTACAAACTCCATTTTATCTTGTAACATGATCAAGATCTGAAGTTTTTTTTTATTTTTTTAATTTCGAAATGAACTTAAACGTAGTTTCATAATGAACGTATTGAATTATTTTCAAGAATCTTCTACAAATCCATATTTCAAAGACTTTCAGCTATAATTTTGTTAAATTATCTAATTGATATTTTTAACAGCTCTGGTAACTTTTGGAGTTATATATGGAGTATATCAGGTGATTCTTCGAGATATTCCTTGTTGTTGAAAATAATTCTGGATACTTTTAACACATTGGCCGCTGTTAGACATAAATGTCATATCAGTGGCGTGCCGTGACATTTGAAGAAAGGGATGCAAATTAAAGGAAATTAAAAAAAGACTTACTGACCTTTTTGCTTGTAGTGCAGCTCTATTATTCTATCATCTTTGGCAAACTCGTTTATGATAGACTCATAAAATCTGGGATTTTCAGACATTTCTTTAATAAGTTCTTTTTCAATTGATAAAATCGCTAAGTTAACTCCTCACTTGTGGAATTTCTGACAAAGTTTTTAATCCGCTTTGGTACAGAAAAATTTGGTTCTACACACGCACTTATAGCAGGTATTGTCATCACTAAGTCACATCATTTTGAAACCTCACTATATGCTTCATCCATTTCAGTTTGTTTAAGAAATGTCAGCAATTAGTATCAGTTTGTACAGAGTGTTGAGAAGCATACAAAACGCACAGTTGGGAATGCAGGGAAAGAATGCCAAAAAAGTTTGCATAATGTTTTTTTATACAATTAAAAGCCTCTTCCTGGAAACTACAGTTGGCATATTTATTGAAGTTGCATAACTCCACAAATCTTAACTCACAAAGGTTTTTAAATCTTTCTTTAAGCTGCTGGGAAATATCTATTATTTCACAAAAAAGTCGATTATAAGATATTTTTGTGTCGCCTACATCGTCAATTCTAATTCGTTTTCTCTTGGGTTCCATCTCTTTGAGGTCGCAAGTTTTTGCCACATGATATCAAATTGCTCCATCTGTCTGTTGATTTGGACTTCGAATTCGTTAATTATTTTAATACAAAATCCAATATCATTCGATTTAGTCTGCAATACATCAAATAAAATGTCTGTATAAGGAAATATTTCAGAAAATACTTGAAGCAAAAAATTAAAATCAAAATCTCGTTTGACTAATTCCAAATAACCTCTTGAGGAATTCACAGTTTCAGGGTCCCAACGGTCTTTATGCTCCAAAATGCTTTCAATTAACTCTATTAGGGATTGCCGATATTGGGAAACTGTTTTTACTAACCTCCCATTGTAGTTCCATCTAGTGGGAGCTGCTCGAGGGAATCTTTTCTGAAGAATGACATCTAAAGCATGTGTCATTTTGGACGATTTAGAAAAAAAGCAGCCATTCCGCTCAAAGTTTGGAAGAACACTTTGCAAGTCTTATTGAGTGCGACTGATTGCGCTAAGAACTAAATTTAGGCTGTGTCAAAGCAGTGCAAAAAAATTGCATTTTGAAACCTCTCCTTAACTTTGGTTTGAAGTCCTCCCAGGTGCCCAGCCATTACGGCAGCTCCATCATAACTTTGAGTGACAAATTTGGAACCACAGTCCAGTTCCTCAACTATATTACAAACATGTCTATACATACCTTCTGCTGATCTATCTGCAGTCATATCCAAAAATTTCCAAAATCGTTCTTGTATTTCACCATTATTTTTTATGTAAAGCAGAACAACCGACAATTGACTCAAATTGACGATATCTGTAGTTTCATCTAGAACAATGGAAATAAATTGTGCTTCTTTTATTTCTTCTTTGGTTTTTTTGCAGAACAATATTTGCCACATACTTGATCAAATCGTTCTGTATCCTTGTCGAGGTACCTTGAAATACAGTAGAATTGATCTAAATGACTTTTAAGTAGTTCGTCATATTCAGCTAAAAAATTCGCCAAATCCACAAAATTTCCCCTATTTGCAGATTCATAATTTTCATTATGCCCTCGGAAACTAAGTTCATGTTCTCCAAGGAAAGATGTACTATTCCACACGTTTTTCTCACTTATATTAAATAATATACACGGAAAACAAAATAATCTCAAGTGAGTTTTACAACCTGTCAACCACTATAAATGCAAAACACGGCAAACGCGCTGTATTACAATGTGATATGCGAACTACTCCAGTTGCCTTGCCTATGATAAGCAAATCTCATATTGCATCCAATATTCTTAAAACTGCGGATCCAAACCTATTGGGGCCGAGGGTCTACGTGTGTTGGCGAATTGAAGCGATGCTAGCGCGAGCAGAATGGTTTCAGAAAATGCATCCAAAGATATTATCACAGAATATAGACGTCTATATAAGCGTCTATATTCTTTGCGAATATAAGCGTCTATATTCTTTGATATTACAGTCACCGTGCGCTGTTGACAGTAATTGTCATTCGTAAAGCAATTTAATGATTTCTTGAAAACCATATTTTATCTTTAAATTATTACAAATCAATTTGAAATATGATTATGTAGTTTTAACAACTGATAATAAATTTTAGATTTTAGAGGATGCAATGCATCCCTTGCATCCATGCACCGCACGCCCCTGTGTCATATGTTGTTTTTGGTAACAGCCACACCTTAGTTGTCTCGGTAGTAATTCTGCATTGTAGCTTAATTGTTGTCTCAGTCCTATATAAGCTGTAAGGGACTGAAGGATCACGGTTGTAATTTTTTAAAACTGTTTTTGGTTTTTAGATCTGTGAACTATGTAGGTACTCGTGGCCTGAAATATACGTAGATAATTAAAATTATAAATATTTAGAAAGAACGTGTTTATTAAATTAAATACAACGTAAAACTAATATTTGTCCTAAATATCAGCAAAAAATATGAAACTATATAATAAAACTCACAAATTATTTGGTATACTTATAAACCTGGAAAAACACTCAAGACAAAAATAATTTTCACATAAAAGAGAATCTTGGGCTCTCCCAGATCCTCTTTGAATCTTCTCATAATAAAGGACGCATCAATATCTGTTGTTAATACCACCCTCTTTCAAAATATGTTGATGATTGTCAACAATATCCCATGTATGCTGATCAACCTCAAAACCTAAAAACCTGTTGACGATTTCCTGCTTGAATTTGATTATGGACATTTTTACATTACTACTTGGTGCAAAATATGTGTATTCACTAATGCACTACCAATAAGAAGCTCAATGGTCAGTTTGCGGTACCACTTCATCCCTCTGCGTAATGAGGTGGTATACGACTTCATTTGGTCTGAAAGGTCAATGTAGGCTTTATGCTTGTTGTAGTCAACAACAGCAGTAGGTTTTTGCAGTTCTTTATTATTGCCAGCTCTCAGTTACTTATCAGTATATTTTGTGGATAAGGAAAGCACATCTCTCTTGTTCTTTCACTTCTGCATGATTATACCTGAGTTGCCTTAGGCTGCCTCGGTTTCTCCTTTTTTAATCCATTTTTCAAGAACTTGTTTAGAATTCATCTTTCGATTTGATTGGAGAGTCCTAACCAAGTGAGTGTTTCTGACAAGTAAAACATATACCTACTCGACACTTGTATAGTATTTGTCAGTAAAACTATCCGTCCGTTATCAAGCAAGTCCTTTGCAAGAGTAAGTACTACTTTTTTGGATCAAGATGGGCCTTCTACTCGGTCTTGTCCACAATAAATCAACATATTGTAAGTATACTTTTCGATGTACAGTTTGTACAGTTTCATTCCAAACGTCTGTCTTGTATTTTTGATATATTGTCGAAAAGCCAACCTACTTCAAACGGAAACCAGTGTTTCGTCAATACAAAGGGCATTGATCGGTGTAAAGTATCGTTGAAAATTTTGATTAAATTTTTCTGAGGGAGGCAATTTTTTCTGCAATCTGCATGTACACATTTTCATTCTTGTTAAAATGCCACATTTTCAACATTATTTGGAATCGATTGCGATACATTACAGATTTTATCACATTTCTCCATCCAAAGACCAATCCAAATTAATCTACCAATGAATTTTTTCATTTTGTCAATACTTGTATCTTGCCAGTGACGTACTTACTTTAGCCCCTCTGTGCAACTTCTTTAGCGAGATATTGAGCTGCGTATGTGTTTTCTTTCGTGACTACCATTTCAAGCAAGTCTTTGAAACAAGTTCCAAACTATCATTATCATCATTTTGGCTTTACAACCCTGTGTGGGTCCTAGCCTCCCCAAGTATTCTCTTCCAGTCGTCCCTATCCATCGCCTTCCTCCGCCAAGCACGTATTTCCATATTTCTCATAGTTCCAAACTATCAGTCTTCTTAAAAGTAAGTGGATTAGGACTCTCTGTAAACAAACTGTGGACCATTATTTAGCACCTATTCCAGTTTCTCAATTTTTTGCTGAAATTGGAGGAACTCCAAGTGCTCCTTGAAAATAAAGATTAATCCCTAAACTAGTTAGCAGTTGGATATCTATTTCTTCTGATTTAAAAAGCGATAAAAGGATGATGGGTCGAAAATGGATAGAATCAGGATATCAGAACGTCGTCAGTAGATCTCCTTAACAGATGTATCCCAACAGTCAGAAAATATTTGCAAATCAGATTAAATTTACATTCATATGGGCGTTCCGCTACGTTACGTTACGTTAAGAGTACCTTCCATTAATAAGTTGGAGGCCTTCGAAATGTGGACGTTGCGAAGAATGTTCCGCATACCATGAACAGATAGGGTGAGAAACGAGGAAGTCTTAAAAAAGGCAAATAGTGAGAGAGAACTACTCAATTTGATCAACGTATGAAAAATTGGATACCTCGGCCATATTCTGAGAGGAAAAAAATACGCAATCCCTCAACTAATCATCCAGGGAAAGATTGAAGGCAAGAGAGTAGTAGGCCGCAAACAAATGTCGTGGTCACGGAACATAAAAAACTGAACAAGCATAAATAAAACTGACGATCTTTTGCATGCCGCAAAAGACAGACCTCTGGCCTTAAGATAATTCGGCAACGCACTATAGGTGCACGGCACTATAAGAAGAAGAAGAAGGGTGTTCCTCAAGGTTCTGTAATTGGCCCAATATTATTTCTTATTTACTTAAATGATATTGTCTCAATAAATTCTTCTGTACAGTTTACACTTTATGCAGATGATACTTCAATACTTATATCAGATAAATCACAAATATCTCTTGAAAATAAATGTAACGAACTTGTGTGTGATCTTAGTTATTGGTTTTCCTCAAATTACTTACATCTTAATGCGGATAAAACGCATGCTATTCATTTCCACAATAGACAGAAACATCTGTTAGATATCGAACTATCAATATATCCTAAACAAATTGAAAAAGTTCAATGCCTAAAGTTTTTGGGTTTGTATGTTGATGAATGTCTCATTTGGAAAAGTCAATGTGATGATATTATTTCCAAAATAAACTCAGCATGCTACCTACTTCGAAACCTCAAAGATAGACTAAGTGAAAAACAGTTAATTATGGTGTATTATGCTCAGGTGGAGTCACGTTTTGGTATGGCATAGTATTTTGGGGTACGTCTTGTAAATTCAGTGAAGTATTCCTATCTCCAAATTGGGGACTGTCGATAAATATCGATAAAACTAAATACATGGTGACCAGTAAAGTAGATATCGGCGCAACCCAACTGATATTAAACCAACAACCGCTGCAGAGAGTTCAGAGATTCAAATACCTTGGATGTTGGATTACCCAAAATCTAGATCCATCCTTCAAAATTCGATGTAGAATTGAACAGGCAAGAAACTCATTTCAAAAATTCAAGCCTCTATTATCCAATAACTCATTAAATTTGGAATTCCGTAAAAAGTTTACGTTACGTGTGGTCTGTACTTTTGTATGGATGTGAAACTTGGACTTTAAACGCCGATATCATGAATAAAATCGAGGCGTTTGAGATGTGGTTGTATCGAAGGATACTAAAAATTCCATGGACTAGCAGAACCAGAAACGAAGAAGTTCTTCGAAGAATGGGACATCAACGAACTCTATTAAATATTATTAAGAGGCGTATACTAGAATATCTTGGACATATAATCAGAGGACCAAGATATGAGTTCCTTCGGCTAATTCTCAATGGTAAAATCAAAGGAAAGAAATGGATAGGACGGAACAAACTCTCTTGGTTGAGGAATTTGCGGCACTGGACAGGTTTGACAGCGGACCAATTGCTACACGTAGCGCAAGACCGAGATCAGTATAACAATATTATAAGCATGGTAGTCGCCGACGTTCCGTAGTGATATGGCACTCTAAGAAGAAGAAGATTCCTATCTCAAAAGAGAATAGTCCGTTGTATTGCTGGTATTTCTCGAACAACTAGCTGTATTAGATATATTTTACAAGTTTGTGTTTTTATTCATTCAAATCTTGAGAAATTTAAAACTAATAGTCAAATTCACAATATAAATACAAGGAAGAATCAAAAATTAATTGTGCCTTTTTCTAAAGGAAATATGCGTTTTTACTCACCTGCAATGATAGGTCAAGGAATATATAAGTTATCCGAGCCAATAGAAAAATGTAAGATAATGAAAATATTTAAATTAACTTTAAAAGATTTTTTATTGCAGAATACGTTTTATTCTGTTATTTTGCTATTATATGCTAGTAATTTTACATTTTCTATTTGTGTTAGTTTTGTAATCTTAGGTTTAGCGTAATTTTAGATTTACATTTATATTTACTAATCTTGATTTCTAAACTGTGACGGATCCCATATGAATTGTATTTGTCAAAAAGGAAATAAAGTATTATGGGTCGAAGTTGTAAATTTTTGTAAGCCTAAATGTGTCACGCATATTGAAAGCTTTTGAAAATTTGCTTAAAACACTTTTTGAAATTTCTGTCATACAACGACTATTTGTTATTATTAAAACTTTTAGAAAATATCCCCTGAGTCCGTACATAATTATAATATGTTTTTATTTTTCAGTCCTTATCTTTAACCAATGCTAGACAAGGAAACCATAGTTCTAAATCGCCTTCAATAATCACTTCCTCTCCGAACCGTCAAATTTCTGCCGATTCGAGAAATTTTTCGACTGGTGCTATAGATAATTGGGATTCAGAAAGCGTAACTAGTATAGGTAAGTCATTTATAATTAATTCTAACAGACATAATAAAAGAAAAGTATAAACATTTATTTGCAATAACAGTTTGTGATCATTAGAGCGATTCGCTAACAATAAAATAATTTTGTAACTTTTCAACATTTACTCATTTCACTAGGAACTCAACGAGTCAGTTAATGTTAATAACATCCGGGAAATTACATCAATTCATTGCGAACTTTGTATCTGAGGCAGAAATTGGCACTCTTTCATTGCCTATGCTTACAATCTGACTCAATAATCGAAATCTACTCGTTTTCTTTAATTATACAATTGATAGAAGTCTTAAAAACATCGCTTTTATAAGAATTTTATATTCTCTATTTTCACTGACAGTTCCGAAAATATTGCTAAGGTGTTTAGTTTGATTTGTTGAGCAGATTTTCAAATCGTTTTATGGTTGTCCAGGTTTCTGCTACTTTATATATTTTTATATATATCTTATCTATCTTCTTAAACGATTAATACAGAGCTTTATCAAAAGAAATCAAAAACAGTGCCGCAAAGACAAAGCTGATTACATCTCTCAAATATGCAGATAGATAGACGAACATGGCTGTCGAAATAAACCGAGGGACTCATTTCAGAAGATCAAACTCCTTAACAGAGAATTTAAATCTCAAACGTAGTCTGTACTAGATAAGGAAGGTAATCTGTAGACTCAGACTGACGATATATTGAAAACATGGCGAAACTACTGTGGCAAGTTATATAATATAACGAGGTACCGGCAGAAAATCGATGGCCCTCTTACTACCTTAGAGAACCTATTGTCTTCATCGCTGAAGTCAAAGATGCAATTAAATCGCTAAAGAGAAATACATACCCAGGCATTGATCCAATATCAGGTAAAATACTACAGTAAATAGGTAACAAAGGATTACAAAGTTTCCTTCTTTAACGACACTTTTTGCATTTTTTGTATATATTTGCGATAGCATCCACATACTCTCTACTGAGACCTACTTTCGTCAATGTTTAAAACAGTTTTTTCAAAGGTACTGTATCGTATGCCTTCTCTAAATCTACCCCACTGAGCTGATACCAGTTATTCCCCTATAATTAGAGCATTTGCGTTTATCCCCTTTCTTGAATATTGAGCTGATGTATCCAATATTCCAATCATTAGGGATATTTTGGCCTTTTAAGCATTTGTTAAATAGTTGAACCAACATCTCATGTAATATTTTTGGTCCATACTTTACCAACTCAATTGGGATGTCTCCAGGTCCTGCAGCTTTACCATTTTTGATCTTTTGAGGGCATCGTTTAACTCTCCGGTTGTTATCTCAATTATTTGTATATGTTCGGATATTTCTTCCATTTCGATCTCTTGGAATTTACATCTATCCTCTGTCAGTAAGACCTCATAATGGTGTTTCCACTGTTTCAGATCTATTAACTGTAAGTTAGATTTTTCCTTTCCTTCCCTCCGGAAAGACTTTATTACCTTCCAAGCTTGCCCAACTCTTGTTCCACCCATATACCTATCCATCTCTGCACTTCTTCGATCCCACATCTCATTTTTACTTTTCACTAGTTATCTTTTTACATCACGATTTAATTTTTGATGTATCTTGTAATCTTCATCCTTTCTCGTTGATATCCATTTCTGATAAGCAGTTTTCTTCTTGTTGACTAAAGTTTGCATATTTTCCGACCACCATTCTTAATTTTTTGTTTCATGTTTGTCTTTATAACCCAAAGCTTCACTTGCAGCCTCATGAATGCATTTTTAAGTTGCTGGTATAATTCTTCCGCTGATATATGTTATATGATGTATATATGTTATATGATCAGTGAGTGTCCATGCCTCTGCTCCATACATAAGAACAGAAAATACATAACAATTAAGGATTGTAAGTTCAAGGTTAAATTGCTTTAAGAGAACTTTCTTTGGAATCTGTTTTCGATCCTACATTTAATCTTGTATGAGTGATATATAATAAAAACGTATTCATATGTTACATAGATTTCCAAAAAGCTTTTGATAGAGTCCAACATGGTAAACTCATACATGCATTGAAACACATACACCTAGATTCCAAGGATATTAATTTAATCAAAAATCTGTACTACAATCAAACAGCGGTCGTACGGGTGGAAGATAGTGAGGCAAACCAGGTGGAAATTCAAAGAGGAGTCAGACAGGGATGTGTGCTGTCGCCACAATTATTTAACGTGTACTCCCAACTAATATTTTAGGAGGCACTATGGGAAAGAACTTAAGGTGTAAGGATTGGAGGGAGCATCGTTAATAACATAAGATTTGCAGACGATACCGCAATCATGGCAGAGAATATAGACGATTTACAAACTCTCCTGGAAATCGTTAACAGAGAAAGCGAAAAGATGGGACTAACAATGAATTTAAATAAAACCAAATACATGGTGATCTCAAAAAACCCTGTTGACAACATACAACTGACATTGGAGGGTAAACAGCTAGAGAGAGTCGACAAATATAAATACATCGGAGCAATTATAAACTCACAGTTAGATCAAGAGCAGGCGATAAAGGTCAGAATAGAAATAGCTCGAAAAGACTTTATAAAATACAAGTCAATGTTTACAAATAAGAAATTGAGTATGGCCATCAGATTGAGGTTCGTCGACTGTTATGTTTGGTCGCAACTACTATATGGGGTAGAAGCTTGGACTCTGAAAGCCCAATCTATAAAAAAATTGGAGGCAATATGAGACTGCAAAAGTCTCAAATGAGGAAGTGTTAAGACGAGTTGGACATGGCAGAAAGCTTATGAACACAATTAAAATAAGAAAAACATCGTATCTGGGCCACATACTCCGAAACGATAAATACTCTCTGCTACAAGTCATCATGCAAGGTAGAGTAGAGGGAAGAAAGTAGAAATCTTGGCTGAGGAATATCAGAGATTGGACTAACCTCAGTGTTGAACAGATATTTCACGTTGCAAAAGATCGAGAAGCGTTTAAAGAAGTGATCGCCAACGTTCGTTAGAAGACGGCACAAGAAGAAGAAGATGAGTGATCCCAGTTGTCTGTGATGTTGCATCCTAGGTATGTTATTTTTTCTGTTCTATCCAATACCTCATTGTCGTTTCTCCCAAATCCACGCCATCAGTCGTTTCTCCCAAAGCTTCTCGAAATAGATGTTCAGAGTACGCATTAAACAGCAAAGGCGAGAGTATGCAACCTTGTCGTACTCCTCTTTGTATTGGGACTTCATCGGATAATTGATTGTCTACTCAAATCTTGGCTACTTGTTTTCTATAGAGATTGGCTGTTATTCTTAGCTAGTTAGTAATTGGCTAGAGCCAATTATGGGAACAATATATCTACCCTTGTTTGGTACTTTTAAGCTAAATAAAGCATATTTTTAAACAAAAATAGTTTTTTGATTTATGGTATTTTATTGAATTGTACACTTTATTTATCTTATACTTAGATATACGCGATAAGAGAAATTATAGTTTTCTTTTGTTAATGTAGTTAATTTTTTGTCTCGTCATAATTATTTGTTTCTCTTTTTGCAGGAAGCAGTGTGGCGTCTTGTGACCATTCCAGTGTAGCTTGGAACGGTACAACTTTTTCAGGAAGGAGCATGAAGTGAGTTGTAATTTATACCCCAATTATATATTTAATGACTACTCTTTATCTGCACATCGCGTGTCGTATCACAGCTTCATCAGGACATACACTATGAAGATTAATTTTAAAAAATTACTACTCGCGAATAGAAATCACCTTGAACAATCGTTGAAATGTTTGTTACTAAAGATTATTTTTCAGGTTATTAGTGTTATTATAAACGTAGAAATAATATGTGGTTTGGTAAGAGATTGATAGTTATACTTGGTGGCCAACTTAAACTCCAGAATTAGATTTGTTAAATGAAATAGTTTGTATATAGTCCATTTCACAGACTTTGTCCCATGCGAAAGTAAAATCTGTTTTTCGTGGGCATTCCTCTATTTTAATTAAAAATTATCCTAAATCCTCTGAACATAGATTTGCTTTTAAAGGTAAACTCATATCGCCTGCAATATTATTAATTACTATTAAGAATTGAGTTACTTGTTGAGAGAAGGGGGGTTTAGAGAACTAGTTATTGATTAAAAGCGAGACAAAGTAGTTGAATCCTGTGGTAGTCTATTTTGTATACATTTCGATTTTAAGGTAATTAAGGCGCACTACAACCGGAGGTAGGTCTTGGCTGATTGCACAACTTGATTCCATCTCACACGGTCATCTATGATAGTGGACCAATGTTCATAAGTCTGACCATATGTCGTCTTTTCACCACACGTTGTAAAGGTCTTCATATCGGAGCCTTTAGATCAAGGAAATAGGCATAAAAAGTACCCTATTTGACAGTTTTTTGAGTAGTATGGACCTTTATAACAAGAACCTATATGTTTTTGCAGTCGATTTTTTGGACTTAATTAGGTATTGACAAATTAAGGTCAAAAACGGTAAATGTAAATAAAAAAGTAAAGCGTTTGAAACAAATTTAAGAAGAGAAGAAACTTATAAGTCAAATAAAAACCTTCAAAATGGCATTTTCTAAACGTTCCCATCCTTATTTGTTGCTTAGAAAGTTGAAAAATAAGTCAAAAATTTCAAATAAATCAAATAAATAATAAATAAATAAATAGGTTGCCATGAAAATTTTTTAATTAAGATTATTTTTTTTATTAAGAAAAATCTTAAATTTTTTTTTGAGATTTTTTATTTTTAAAGAAATATTAGTAACTAGGTCATCATCATCTTTGGCTCGACAAATCTCTGTGGATCTTGGCCTGCTCTAAGATTCGTCGCCATTCTGTTCGGTTTCTTTCAACATGTTGCCATCTCCTGATTTTTAATATCCGTAAGTCGGTTTCAACTCCATCTAACCACCTAATGCGCGGTTGACCTTTGCTTCTTCTTCCTACAGGTGTTCCTGTGGTTAGCTTTTTAGCAATCGTATTTTCTAGCATTCGTATTATATGTCCAGCCCATCTAAGTCGCTGTGTTTTAATGAACGTTATGACATCTGGCTCATCAAACAGCTGATACAATTCAAAATTATATCTTCTGCGCCACTGCCATTGGTCGTTTACAGCTCCAAATATTTTGCGGAGTATTTTACGCTCAAATATTCCCAAAAGTCTTTCATCTTTCTGCGTTGGTGTCCATGTTTCTGCTCCATATGTGAGGACCGGCCTCAGCAATGTTTTGTATATAATAATTTTAGTTTTTCTTTGAATGTTTCTTGAGTGGAAATGCTTTTGGAGTCCATAGTATGCCCTATTTGTAAGATTTATTCATCTTTTGATTAGTAAGTAGGTATGTACTTTAAGTAGAAAGAATTGAAAACGATAATTTGTTTTTTTTTATCAAATCTATTATAAATAAAATATTTACTAAGTTTATTGAAAAAGTATATATTAATCATAAATGTTTCTTTTTTACAATAAAAATTACTTTAAATATTCCTGAAAAAAAAATAAAACTTGAAAAAAAATTGAAATTGTTTAAACAAATTAGATGTTTTATTTAATAGCCTAATTATTTAAATAATACATATTCGAAATGTACGCAAAAAGTACATACAAATTAAAAAAAGAAGCGTCGAAATCTATAAAAAAAAGTACATAGATACAATTAACAGCTCCTTCCCCCTCCTGCGCTCTCACTGGTTTCAAAGCCGACCAATTTTGAGGATCACAATTTTGAAGCTTTGTGAATGATTCCATTAAAATGCGCAATCTTTTTTGAATTTTTTAGGTTAAAACCTTAAAGTATTTTCTTTCAGATTATCCTAATTAGGTTTCTTAATTGTTATAAACAAATCTACTATCAATTTATAAAAAAAATGGCACTAACTTCATCCCAGTTAAAGTGTCCAAGGTCAACTTTTTTTCCTTTTAAATTTGTAAAAAAATTCAGGCTATTAAAATGTGAAAATACCAGTTTTTTGCAGTCAAAAAGTTATTTGAATTGTTTATAAGCAAAAAATTGACATGTTTGTGCCAAATTATTTTGCAATATTTAAAATTATTTTTCCTCATTTTTTTTTAATAATATTAATAGAATAAATCTTCTTTTAGAATATATTTGTATATTTGATATAAGTACCTATTTAATTTTCTGACTTATATTGTTGCAAAAAAATTTAATTAAGGATAAACAAAACTCTTTCACCGATCAAATTTTGATCTTATTGCACCACAAGACCCAACAATGTCTGGAATATAAAGGTTATAAGTTTATTTAAAAAAAAAGTTATTACCATTCATAAAAAACCGAAATTTTTGACTTATTTTGCAACTTTCTAAGCAACAAATAAGGATAAGAACCACAGAATACATCATCCAACTGGACTGAGCTAGACTGTATCATGTCTAACAGAGAATTGACCCATTTAATTTGTATTAAATTTTCGTCCAAAGTTGATTTAAATGTCCACCACAGGACCCCACTGTCCATGGTAGACTTTCCGTTTTCAATGCTTTTTATGTGTATCCAGGATCCTATAGTGCCATTTTGACAAAGTCTTCGCGTTTGATTTTTGCCTTAACATATTCGTTACACCTCCACTTTCCATCGATACCATGATCCAATAAGCCGTCGTGCCTCCACAACGAAAAGATCAAAAAATGACCAGAATGGACCTTAGCGATTTCTTATGGGATTTAACATGGGGAAATATGCCGAACCAGTGCTGGTCTTTTACTCATACTATTCAAAACAACTGTCGGTTGCCTGGCCGGACGAGTGTCACGAAAAAAAGCTTATTTCCCTGGGCTACTTCTCCTAGATTAACTATGCAAGGCGATTATTGGGGCGCCTGTGAACATGTCTGTAAGGTTATGTATTAACAAAACTGTTTATTCAATTCCTGTACAGTATAGATATATCTGCTGTATAGCACATGCACTCTAGACATGTAATATTTGTTGCATATACCTTACAATGACCAACCCATCCTAGACCATCCTTGGGATCTAATTTCGTGGACGACATCGCTAGCGTTATAATATAATCTGTTTGAGCTCGTCGTTTGTTCTCATTCAATTGCGTATTGCAATTTGATTACTTGTAAAGGATTACCATATCCATATTATATATTAAGGCATTCTTAGTTGATGTGTCCTTTCGAAACCGCTTTGAATGGCAGTTAGTAATTAGTTTCTTCTGATAAACATATTTAATTTGTTGTTTAAATCTTTTTGTAGTAGGTAGTTTATACGTATGATTTTTGAGAGGAATTGACCAGTAGTAAAGCGGATTATTGTTTGATTGATATTTTCAAATTGTGATACGTTCAAAATTTGTTTTTTTTTTAATAAGAATCTTTATTAATAGTTTGAAATGTGTGACATTCATAAATAAGTATTTAGTATTGTTTATCTTACAATTAAATAAAACCATGTTTTTCATATTCCAGGTATGTTTTTCATTGCAATCAACACGCCGGAGCAGTAGGAGATGAATACTTAACGCCGACACAAAGAGCTCAAAAGCAAGTAAAGAAACTCAAATACCTCCTGCAGCAAGCTCAGAAGGATTTAGAAGAGAAAGATAGTGATATTTTGAAATTAACCAAAGAAGTAGTTGAATTGAGATTGTATAAGGCTGCCCTAAGTTCGCCAGAAGACAAATCAAATTCGAGGTGAGCACAAATACATTCAGTAAAGTTTTATGAAGGTATCTTAAAAGCAAGGCACAGTGGTGGCTCGTGAGTATTTTACGTGGATGGGCAGACATTTGGTGTATAAAATTAGTAGAAATAAGAAATCTATATGTATATGAAACCTAATCTTACCATTACTTGTAGATAAAATAGGTTCTTGTATCATTAGCACTAACACAAATGTTTATTGCATTTTAATTTAAACTACGAATTTGTTTTATGATTTTATTTTCAATGTACAATGTTGTCATTGCTGTGAACCTGTCATGATCTTTCGCTTCCGACGGATAGTTGTCCTGTTGCCCTGTGTCACAACATTGACATGAAAGCTAGTGTGAAAATCATTTTCTTCTTTTTTCAGTGATGCCGTTACGGTTAGAGAAAATAACAGTAACGAAACAACTCCAGATGATGCTGTAGATGGATTATCGAATCACATAGCGAGCGACCTTCAAACGTCGTTTGCCGATTCCGGCCATTTTGAAGACTGCACCAGTTCGTCCGTTTATTCTAAAGATTCTGTGTTATCAGAAGAATGTAGAACGGTAAGCAAACAAAATTCACTATGTGTATTCAAAGATCTAGAGCTCGATGAACACCTAGAATTTTACTTCCTCTACAAATATGAAGTCGTATGGTCTCTGATTATTGGTCTTACAAAATTTTATGAACCTGACTCGAAAAACAACTATTTTTTCGGAACATTATTTTTGATTGAGTATTATCACGGCCAACTTAATAAAATATCACCCAATTTTTGTTGCAATAATTAATGTTCCTCTCAAAAATCGCGAATAACTCACACATTAAAGCAGTTAGGTATAAAGAATACTTAATAAATAATAAAGTATCATAACATTTTATTACAGTACCAAAATACAGGGTGTTTTAATTAAGAAAACTCATTTCAAGTTTCGACCAATCCTGTACCTATACCAACATTAAATATTTCGCTATGTTAATAATTTTAGACCGTATTAGACTACATTAAAAATCTTTTGAACATAAATATATTTTCTAGAATTCTACAGAGTGTTAATTTTGCTACAAAAGGAAAACGTAATTTCCTTTTAAAATACCTCTGACATATTATGTATGACATATGACATACATATGACGTATGACACTGCAAAGCTTATATTGAAAAAACGAGAACTGTATATTTGAAAATATTTTTAGAGTATGAACCTAGGTATGCTCCAATATTTACCCATATCCCTTACTACTACTACTACTACTACTACTATTACTAATTAGCCTTCTTCGGTCTATCTTTGGACATAGGCCTCCCCAATCCTTTTCCATTCTTCTCTGTCTGTCGCTACAGTCATCCATCTAGAGCCCACGTGCTTCTTGATATCATCTGCCCATCTCATTTGGGGCCTTCCTCTGCTTCGTTTATATTCCCACGGTCTCCAACTTATAAGAATTTTGTTCCATCGGTCTGCTTTTTGTCTTATATTGTGTCCGGCAAATCTCCATTTCAATTTTGCAACTTCTTGTCTAACATCCCTCACTTTTGTTTTCTCTCTTATCCACTCGTTTCTCTTCTTATCCATTAGTCTTATGTGCAACATTTGTCTTTCAATTGCTCTTTGGGTTTTTATGATTTTGTCCATGTTTGCTTTTGTAGATGTCCACGTTTGGTGGATTAAGTAAGAACAGGGAGTACGCATTGATTATATACTTTGGTCTTAAGATGCTGTGGATATCTTTTGTTTTTAAGAATGTAGCTTAATTTGCCAAATACCGCCCATGCCAGTCTAACTCGTCTCTTGATCTCTGCTGTTTGGTTCTCTTTGTTAAGTTATATAGTTTGACCAAGATATAAGTATATAATCCTTAACTTGTTCTATTTCATCTTGTCCGATTCTCATTGTGATGTCTTCATCTGTATTTGTTATAGTTTTGGTCTTGCTGTAATTCATATTAAGGCCTATCTTTCCAGCTTCTACGTCCAGTTCTTTCATCATTTCAAATAATTCTTCTTTTTTATCGGTTATCAATACGATGTCATCAGCGTACCTGAGATGGTTCAAGCGTTGTCCACAAATTATTATACCTTTGTTTTCCCATTCTAATCTTTTAAAAGTATCTTCAAGAGCCTGATTGAAAAGTTTCGGTGATATTGTATCACCCTGTCTCACGCCTCTACTTATTTGTAATGATTTTGTTCCTTCATATACTTTAATTGTTGTTTTGGCTTCCTTATATATATATATATATATATATATATATATATATATATATATATATATATATATATATATATATATATTGGTTATTAGTTCCGTATATCTGTGGTCAATTCGGCTGTTAATCAAAGAACTTTTCACTGCCCAATGTTCGACACTGTCGAAAGCCTTTTCGAAATCTAGTTGTAGTTGTAGTTGTAGTTAATGTTCCGCTCAAAAAAATCACGAATAACTCACAAATTAAAGCAGTTAGGTATAGAATACTTAATAAATAATAAAGTATCATAACATTTTATTACACTACTAAAATACAGGGTGTTCCACCTAATAAAACTCATTCCAAATTTCGACCAACCCTGTACCTATCTTCTTCTTCTTCTTTTGGCATCATAACCCTGGATGGGTCTTTGCCTGTCTGGCTATGTCCTTCCATTCAGATCTCTCTTGTGCCCTTCTTCTCCATTGTCTTATGTTCATTGTTTTCAGGTCGTCTTCCGCGTCATCCAACCATTTCGTTCTGGGCCTTCATTTCTTTTCGCCTTCCTATGGGCTTCCATTGTAACATTTTCTTTGTTGTTTTTGCATCGTTTTGTCTCTGCACATGTCCAAGCTATGACAGTCTTTGACTTTTCACAAATCTTACAATGTCATACCCTTCATTTAACTCATTAACCTCGTCGTTTCTCCTGATTCTCCATGTGCCATCTTCCTCTTGTACCGGCCCATATACTTTCCTCAGTATTTTTCTCCCGAATGTCCTGAGTTGGGCTTCATCTTTTTTCGTCATTACCCAAGTTTCACATCCATAGGTTACTACGGGACTAATCAGTGTTCTGTAGATAGTCATTTTGGTTCTTTTGTATAATAATTTCGATGTCATCAATCTTTTATTAGCATACAATAATAATTATTTCAATAGTTACAACTAATTGTTGTAATCGTTAGAATTTGGCACCTCAAATTAGCGTCCATTTTATATTGCTAGAGGTTCTTCCTGTGTTTTGTTTGCCCATTTGTTTCAGGAGATTCATGTTAGTACCACTTTGTTTCATTTTTGTAGTTGCCCCAATCCAACCCTCTTGCCATTTACTTATCCACGACCCCAGCTCTCCAAAGAAACCCTGAGTGCCGTTCGTATAAGTTTCGATTTGTTTTGCTTGCCCTATCTCCACCCATAGTAACGTCCGCCCCCAATTTTTAACCCCCATAATCCTACTCTATGTGGTAGGCAAAAATATATTTAGTTACAAATCTGCCATCAAAGTTATTGCAAATTATTTATTCATTTCAACGAACACGTATTTTTCTACTTCTAACCATTTTCACTCCTAAAAGACCCCTCTGACCACAGAGGAGGCTTTCTTATACACTTATACTTCTTGTACATCACTCCTTACATCCCCAGAGGCTACTTCTACGGTCCCAATGCCACATACCTAACCATCCAGCTGTCCGCCATCTTTGATTTGAAATTCCCATATCTTATCTACTTTTGCTACACAATTAATAAAAAAACGTAATTTCCTTTTAAACTACCTGGGCTACCTAGAACTACCTAGAACTGTATATTTGAGTTCTATGTATGCTCCAATTTTAACCTAATTAACTTTGTTTAATATCCCTTACTACAAAGGAGTAATTATACTTCCTCGCACTAATGTCACACCCTGTATATGCATATGTTATGCGTATATTGTATATTTCACATTTAATTCCATATTGTCTTTAATTTTAGCCTAGTAAATCGGGAAAATTAGTAAAATTAGATAAATCCACATCAACAGATCAAGAAATCGAACACAAAAAGATAATCGAGGAATACGAGAGGAGATTCCAAGAGTTGATCAAAACGCACGAGGAAGAATCGATTCAATTGAAACAAAAACACAACGAAAAGATCGAAGAACTCCTGCAGAGGATCAGCGAAATAAACGCTAGGTTTGTAAAAAACAACGAGTTTCGAATTCTACAATTTTCAAAGTCGATTTACAGGTATTGGCAGATAGTTCCTGAATTAGAAGAAGCCAAAGAAAGGATCAAAGAGCTCGCTCATCAACTAGAGGAGGCTAGCAAGAAGTTGGACGAGCAAAACGCCGAGGCGGAGAAGAGTGCCAAATCGGAAGAACTTCTTAATCGGAGTGAGGAGTTGGTTAAGCATCACAATAAGGTAAATATTCAAGTGTTTAAAAATATGTTAATTTTATATCTGTTAAATTAAATATTTACAAGAAAACTAAGCTGTTTAATATCACTAATAATGTGCCGCAGAAAGCAATACATATTTCATTCATTTCTAACCAGACTCTATAATTCTGAGTTGGTTATAATTATAGTTACTGCTGAAAATAAGCCATTTCTGAACTCTTAAGACATTCAGATCACAGTACTGGTCTGTTGTATCAGCAACAAACATCTGGAGTAAACCATAGTGATAATATGGTTTATTCCATTCTCGTGTGGTTTTTAAAGCCCAAAATACTCTCTTCTATTTCTGTATAAGTCTGAACGTTTGGTCCCTCTTGGCCATATAAAATATTACTCCGCCGCAGTAATGGGAGTGTAAAGTGAGTCTGCTACCAGTTCATTCTGCTGATTTTGCTCCCCTCCCCTCAGATATTTTAATTCGTAGTACCCATCATATTTGCCAAGATTTTTTTTATCTGTCACCTGGGGCTTAGGAGAACCAGTACAACTTCTCTGAGACTTCATCAAACCTACTTTACATAAACTCTCCTCCAACACTCGACATCGAATCCTTCCACAATAATAGTAAGTTCTGTAGAAGCTGACTTATGTACTAAAATTCTTCCTTAAGACAGTGATTGGAGCCATTGTGACCTATTTGGGGCATAGGCAGAGTCCGTGATCGGGTCCGCCTCTATACTCGTTCCCTTTACATATTTATTTGTATACTCCGAAGAGTCAATCATTTCTGAGTCCCCTTCTGAGCTACATCTTTTTATCACGTATCCACTTTACTCCCACGAATCCAGGTGAAATAATTTCAGAAGCGCCAATGTGTCCTCTGGAACTTTTCTCCTGTTCACATTCATCTCATTAGTCATTGTGACATGCCGTATTGTAAAATAAATTTAACATTAAATACCATTTTATTGTTTTGTAGATAGTGGAACTGGCCCAACATCCAAGCCGAGTATCAGTTCCAGAGCTACTAAATGAACTACAAGTAACAAGAAATGAGCTAGAGAATATAAGAGTAAGTAATGTGTGTTTATGTAATGGGATTTGCATATTGTTTTCCTTTTTTGTTCTTTTGCACTTCATTTCAACTTCAAATACGCAAATAAATGTTCTAAAATTGAAAAAATGATTAGTGGGTATAAAACGAAGATTTTTAAAGTTTCCATACCAGTGAATTTATTATCACAGTACCTATTATACAGGGTGGTGAATCGTCGAACGGGTCATAGGAAAGTCAATGAGAAATTCTAAATTGTTGAATTCCTGCTTCCCTAATTATTTTACGCCAAAAGTCATGGGTAACTATTTGTAGAGGACTCAAATATGTATCGAAAACAATTGTTAAAATTGTTCTACGACTTAAACGTATTCCAAAATTTTGCTAAAATATAATACATTTTTCAGGCCACCCTTAAAAGTCAGGCCAGACGCCGTGAAAAGAATGTGTATTACGTGTTGCGTTTTGTCATATTGACGTTTCTAATATTTGACAATATTTAAATCAACTATATACCCGGTTCGCTATTCCCAGTCCGAACTGTCTAGTGATTTTAGTAATTATTTTTTTTCGAAGTTAGTAACTTTTTGACACACTCGAAGTGGCTGGAAAATACTATACAACCAAGCATACGTGCTCTTAGTCAATATTAATGTAAACAAAAGTAAATAAAATAGAACTTTGCCGACAATCAATATTTATTTATTTACACCGTATAATGTATTGATAACAAATAATAAAATTATTTATTGTACAAAATAAAAGTGGGAATAAATTCTAGAAAATTAAGAAGTCAAAGTGAGGTTAAATAATAATAAGACACAGCAAGTTCCTTATGTATTTACAACATTTACATAATTCGATAAATACATTTTAATGACCAACTTACCTCAACAGGGTTTTCATTCGGTAAAAAAAAATAGTAGGCATTTTGAATAAACCTTTATGCAGTTTTATTACCTTGTAATCTAGGAACAGCATCCTTACTAATCTAAAAATATTAACATTAAAAAAAACTTTTTAAAAAACATTTTATCATATTTATTAAGAAAAACTTACCAACGCATTAGCTGATGGAACAAATGGACAACTTTGACTATCCATAATAATAAAATTTAAAATATAACTAACTAATTAACTGAATAGAACTAACAAAAGAATTAAACAAAGATAATAAAACAATATTAAATTAAATAAACAACCCGAATAATACAAATTTTTACTACAATATTTTAAATTGTAACAATTCAAATATTATATTTTAAATATCAAGGGAAAATTTGATGGGTTTAGTATACACTTCCACTATTTAGAATAATTCTTCTTTTTTCAAAGCAAGAAGTCTGCAATAGTAGTTTACTTGAGCTATTAATACTGAGAAGTAGGAATTGTTGTGTTGTAGGTTTCCTACAATGAGTCTGTCAAAATATGCCCTAGCTAAGCGAATAGACAATATTATATTTATCGATGATTTAAATGGCCAAAATTTTGTGATTTATTATTTAAAAGAAAAAATAAGTTTTTTTTTGTGTGTTTTGGCTTGGACAATTGTCATTCAGCCAGTCTCAATCAAGATAAGTTTATTAATGTAGTGTGTGTGTGTGTGTGTGTGTGTGTTTGTGTGTGTAGAGTAATTGTCTTGATACTTAGCAAAGTCGACGTCATTGTCTTTGCTAAGAGACGCTAATTGTATCCGAACGTCTGCGGTCCCTCCGGTGAGTACCGATCACACAAAGGTAGAAATTATTTTCATTTATTAATTTTTTTTTAATAAACGAAAATTTCCACCCAGGTGAGATTCGAACTCACGACCTTTAGGTTTAAAGGCAGGCGCTCTTACCACTGAGCCACAGAGGGGGTTTAAAAAAAAATAAGTTGATTAAAAAATGTACTCAGTTAAGGAGAAAAGAGCAATAATAAAAATGTTTTATTCATGTTTTATTATAACATTTGTTATAGTTTTATGTTTAGAAATTATCATATATTATTATTAGGAATAAAGATCACAGTAACAGTATATTGGAATTCATTGAATTGTTGTATAACTTAACTTGGAATTAACCCCCTCTGTGGCTCAGTGGTAAGAGCGCCTGCCTTTAAATCTAAAGGTCGTGAGTTCGAATCCCACCTGGGTGGAAATTTTCGTTTATTAAAAAAAATTAATAAATGAAAATAATTTCTATCCTTGTGTGATCGGTACACACCGGAGGGACCGCAGACGTTCGGATACAATTAGCGTCTCTTAGCAAAGACAATGACGTCGACTTTGCTAAGTATCAAGACAATTTACTCTACACACACACACACACACACACACACACACACACTACACCTCAAATTGTAAGATTGGCGAATGGATTTAGTGTCCGCAGTCATTTAAACACAAACAAACAACAACAACAACTTGGAATGGATGGAACATGGAATTAAATTTTAGTGTATTAGAATATCTTACGTTACATAAAGATCCGGTAGTGACAGGAAAAGGTTCGCGCTATTGCCTGAATATAACATTATGCGACTTTTCGTCAACTGAGTACATTTCAATATATTGATCGATTTGTAAACAATATAATTTATTGTTCACAAAGTAATATTGTTCAGTAGTAATATTTAGTAAAAATCATTGTTTATAATTTAAACATAAAATAAAAAAATTGACAATTCAAATTGTCAAACATCTGACATTAATATGATAAAAGACACACGTTATAATATATTCTTGTATTACGTGTGGCCTAACTTTCAGGGGTGGTCTGAAAAATCTATTATATTTTTGCAAAATTTTGAAGTACATTTGATTCGTAGAACGGTTTTTAACATTTGTTTTTAATTCAGAATTTAGTCCTCTACAAATAGTTTTTTATGAATTTTGATCTAAAATAATTAGGGAAGCAGCAATTCAACAATTTAAAATTTCCCATTGAGTTTCCTATGGTCCGTTTGACGATTCACCACCCGGTATAATTCAAAGTAATGTGAATAAAACAAAAATAACATAGAAATAAAGTCAAAGGTAACCGTTCCTCATACTTCGTAGACTTTTTGAACGAAAAATTCCTTTGGACTTAATCATCATGGATCATGAATTTTACCAACTGTCCAAAAAAAAACACTGATCTCGAAATTCGGCAATATAAAGATTACCGAGACTGGTTTTGACTTACCACGCAACACATGGACTATGCTGAACCGAATCAGAATCCAACACGGCAGATGCGGTTACATGATGCACAAATAGGGTAAACGAATATCCCCATTCTGCGACTGCGGACAACCCCAAACCATCTGTCACATTACAGAATAGTGTCCCACCGCATTAAGTAAGTTGTTCGTTTGTAAACATATATGTATTTTGTTTTATACAAAATATATGTAAATTGAAAGAGGTAAAAGAAATAATAAATAAGACTTACTCACAATCAATTTAATTTAACTATCTATACGACCGGTTTCGCTTTCTACAATATGCAAAGCATCTTCAGGTCTCGATACAAAGTTAATTAAATGCTGAAATAATAAAACCCATATTAGGGTGTTGTCTTATAAAGATAAACAAAGATAGATGATATAAATTACAATAATTATGCAAATATTACATGTCTGTGGTTTTTCAAAATGAATAAAATGTTTAAGCAGACAAGGTAAGACCCACAAATTGGTATAAAATAGTCTATTAAATTGTAATAAATTAGTAAATAAATAAATAAAACATTACTTACATGCCGGTACTCTATTAATTGATGGTTGGAAGAACATGGTTCAAACTATCCTGTATTGTTGAATGGAGAACTTTAATAAATATATCTAGTTGACTATTTAGCTCACTGCCCAGGTATATGAAGCTTTGGGAACTCTGAAGAGTGATACCATTTATTTGTATGTTAGGTGTAACTATGGGGGTTTTTGCAGAATACCAGAATTTTGGTTTTGGAAAAGTTAATGTCCAAGCCCAGCCTGTGACTTTCTTCTGATAATATGTTATCAATATTTATTGCGATAGAGCTATAAACACATCAACTTTCGCTTGTCAATTACAACACAAAACCTATGTTTCTTAATAATTGTAGTAAACATTACTAGTTTCGTACTAAAATTAAGCACTATAAGACTAAATTAAAGATTAGAATATAAAACAAACAACGCTTAGGAGAAAAGTCTGTGATAATCCTCACAACTAAAGGAGGAACTGCAATGAGATATGTACAAAAATAGAATATGACATATTAAAAGCCGTAAAAGAAAATATAGATGTCTGGAAAGTTAACTTAAAGACAACAAAAAGCCATGGTTCAACTCCTTAATCAGAGAATCATAATGTGAGCAAGAAATATAAACTTTCTGAGTTATTTTCTGCAGGTAATCAATATTCTCCGCTATTAACGAGATATTATTGTCCGCAGATCTCAAGTTATCGATATAGATATGTTTACTACCTCTCCAACCGATAACATGATAAACTATCGTCGAACATTGAGATTGAACTATGATATAAACTGATAAAAACTAATCAGATATTACATAATACTTTTTTTAAGAATCATTTCCACTTCATTTTTCTTTATCACCTGCACTTAACGCTTTCCCCTTAATCTGCATTTGAGAAATCAAAAAGCTTCATTTTCAACCCATTTCCGTATAAAAATTTAACTACACTAACCAGTGTGTGTGTTTTGCTTAAAATAATACCTTTTTCAGGACGTTGAGTATGCAACAACTTCTAATAATTCACAGCCACTTTTGAGTGCTAAAGAGGCACTTTCTTTGTGGGTACTTGGTGCAAGAAAGGTAAACACGTCAAAAAGTAAAGTTCTGCACCTCATTGGCTTTCAACTAACAGTGTCAGGTTAAAAATTGAAAATAAAAAAGTTAAACAGTCATTATTTAGTACGAAATTTACTCTCTAGGTACAGGTATTCTCTTGAAATTTAAAATCACGTACACTATTTTAATTATAATGAAGATGATCTGCATCTAAACATTACGAAAAGCAAAAACTCTCCCCAGACGCACCGGACATATAATAATACGGAGTAATATCATAAGAGTTTACTATTGTATAGGTAATGTAATGTTTATTTACGGACTTTTCATTTGTTTACAAATCAACTTAAATTTAGCTTAAATTATTAAAACACAATGTGATTACATAAAAAGGTAGTTTCGATCTTATTCATTATTGTTGTCTGTAGAAAGAATATAGACTAACCCTGTGATTATATTGATGTATTCGTAACAGGCTGTAGAGTTGATCGTGGTGCGTCACGACGCAGAGGCTCCATAGCACGAGAATCGTTAAAAATGGGTCCGTTTTGTTCGCTTCCTTGGGATGAAGTGAAGTGTTTTTGAAGTGGTATCTTGAGATCGTCAGGTCATAAACCACCCTATGGTCACGCTTCGAAGTGGTTGTTAGCAAGAGGGTATACCAATAAATCACTCTATTGTATTGCGATTTTGAAGGCGATAATTTAAGTTAATTGTCACAGTAATACGAAATTTTAAACTTGTGTATATTGGCGACACAAAATAACACAAGAAGTCAAGTTCTCCGTACTAAAAACATAATAAATGAGATAGCCAGTTTAAAAATTTTACGAAATAACAGGATGCAATATATTTTAACAAAGTCGTTAGAATACAGCACTGAATTAGATCGCATTATAGTACACTAAAAGAAAAATATTAAATGTAAAAATATGAAAAGAAATAGTAGATACTTTCCCAAACATTCTCCCGCTCCAAAAACGAATGTTTTTAAGAACGGTTGAAAGTATAAGTATAAAGAATAGATCGATATACTAATAAAGAACTAAGTAAGAATAAAATATGAATTGACAAATAAGCGGCAGTCATATTTTGACCTCAGAACATTGTTAGATGTCATCTGAAACTGTGCTCAGATTAACAACGAGTACACTGTCATTAATTAGAAAAGAATAGCGTCGAAACAGTAGAATTTTTTGACCGACTAAAACTAGAAAGACTGTTTCAAACACAATACCGCTGGCCCCCTTTCCGATAAGAATTCCGTGGGGTGCGAAAAAACCAGTAGAAGAACAGCGTCATAATCTCGGCGTGGCGTCGCATTTCAAGTCTGCAATGACAACCGGGAAGTAATGATATTTCGACGAGGTCCACGGTAGGAAAATGTCCGTTTGCTGAAAATTGTAATAATTGTGCCGGTGATAAAACACGACTAACACAATCAGAGAGATATTGATTAGAAGGCATGTAATGCCGAGTAGAGTGTGGTATCAGTTCTTGTATGTGTTTAATACGATTGACAATTTATGGGTAGAAAAATTAGCTTAAGGAAGCGCAATTGTCAAGTCAGATCAAATATCGGAAGATCGGTAGGGGAAGCCTTTGACAAAGGTGACTAGATTAGCCAGTATGGCTGCCAAGAGCTCCAATCTTGTCGAGTCAGAGCGAGCATGAAAATTGGACGAGACTCGTTGACAAAAGTGACTAGATCAGTCAGCAGTATAGCTGCCAAGACCAACATCTTGAGACAAATGTTGTATAGAAATAATACCAGAAATGTTACACATACAAGTACTCAGATGTATCTGTTCAGAGGTTTCATCATCCCAGGATACAGTGAAGTATCACAACGATTGTAGAAAACGTTTGACTAGCAAAAAGACATGCAAAAAGAATAATATTAAATGAAAAATATGAAAATAAATACTACATACTTTCCCAAAACAGGTGTCTCTACAGGGAGTACGGAAGTAAGCCTTTTTCACAAGAGCACTAGCATCAATGCCTTCTCGTATTAATTTATATATAAATGCTACATCTAGTAATATTCGCCTTTATTCAAAAGTAAGCAATTTAAGTAAAGATTGCAAAACAATGTATTCAATTTCATTTACAGCTATTCTCAATTTAAAAGCAATAAATCTTAAGAATTTTTTCTGTACTCTTTCTAATAGATTTTTGTAGCATTAATAATGAGGAAACCAAATATTGCTTCCATATTCCAAAACCGAGCTAATAAAGGAAGAGTAGATATTTTTGAGACAATAAATATTATCAAATTCAGAGGTGCACGTTTCATCAAACCTAAAAGTTTCATGGATCTATTAGAAACGTAAGAAAAGTGGTCCCTGAAACTTACTTGTAGGGTAAAAAATTACCCCAAGATCGTTAAACGTTGTGATTACCTCTAAAATATACGGTCCAATATGGTATTCAAATAAAATCGGATGTTTTAGATTGTAACGACTATTTTGCTTACCACAGGGTAAGAATATGGGGGACAAGATTGGGCAAACAAAATAATCGAAACAAGTGCATACGGACACTCAGTTGGTTGTTGGAGAGCTGGGTCGTGGATAAGTTGAAGATATTGGGGGTTAGATTGGGCAACTACAAAAAAAAAGAAATAAAGGGGTACTTATACAAATCTCTTGGGACAAACAGAATGAAAAATAAACGGAAACACCTCAAGAAATTTAATATAGGGCGCCACTTGAGGTGCCCAATTATACCTATTACAACCACTAGTTGTAACTAGGGAAATAATTGTATAACATCAAAATTATAAAAAAAAATATCTTTTTCAAATAAAACTCAAAAGAGATCAGAGATACAAATTAAACATTTATTTTTGTCTCAAACAAAACAGATCAAAAATACATATTATAAAAGAAACATGTCATATAACATAATACAAATATCAAAAACTTACATGTTCTTTGTTTACTCTATTATGGCCAATTCGATTATCAAAAATTAAGGATCCTTCTTAATGAAAACATATAAATTTAACCTTATATATGAAATATCGTTTCTACATAATAATTAAATTAAAATTGTCATAACAAAAAAACAAATTAAGCTTGCTGTCAGGTATCACATTTAATTTTGATGACAAAGAATGAAAGCAATTATTACTTTAGCCAAAAAATATCTGTCTTTACTTTGAAAATTAATATATTGAATTGTTACCTTAAAATTTACATATTTCGTCACTCAACTAAAAAAAAAAACTTGTTACATCTCTGACTGGAAGCTACTTGTACAAATCCTCTAACTGGGACATAGGAAACATTTCTATACTCAGGAACGAGGTTGGGGCAAACAGATGACACACGAAGCTGGTGGCACACCCTATGTACTGCTTTAAAATTTTACCATGTTCTGGTATACTGAATAAATCCTTTTAGTGGTTTCTCTATGCTAATCCGTCATGTTTACGGAGAGTCCACTGTTTACAGGTCTGATTAATTAACCCATTACACAAAATTACCGGCTGTTTATGAAAAATGCCCAAGTCCTTTCAACTCGAGCTGCCTTACATCACCTGCCTACCTCGTTGCTCTTTTTAATCTCCTCGACCTATTGTCACATGTTTGCCCTGTTTGAAATCTAAATCTCGACTCCCTTGCTTCGTTACATTTTACCAGAATCTAGCCAAAAATTTCCCTTCCGTCTTGCAGCTAACCTGTCCAGCAAACTCAAGAACCAAAACAATATCCCCTCGCTTGTATCGACAAAAAAAACAAATTTTAAATGTTCCTTTATTGCCTAAACAAACAAATATTCTTTTTTTGACCCTCGACTAATAACGAAAAACAACTTTAATATTAGGGGAATTCATGATTTATTGCGTTTTTAACGAAGAAAACAAATAAAACCTTTTTTTATCAGGGGGCATCATAAATTTACATAATACAAATTAACAAAATACGTGCGTATTTTAAACTTGAGTTTTACCTGGCTTATAACAAAGGGTTCGATATTTGAATCTAAACACAGACAAAAAAACATCTATATTTACTTTTGAATCGGTAGAAATATACGCATTTAAAAATCTCGTCAAAAAAAACTTGAAATATTATTTCGATTGTTTTCTCTGGTAAAAACAACAGGAGCGTAACACAGAAATCTTTTCTATACACTTTAAATAAAAAAACGCTACAATGCCCCTTCTTAAAAGAAAAAACTCGGATAATTCTTATCCAGTTTTTGATAAAGGCAAAACAACAAAAACCAAATCAGAAGATGACCTCTTAACTGAGTCGAAACTTCTTAATAATATCTTTTAGATGATGGCTAGCATGGGATTAAACAACAAAAACAAAGTTAGTTACAAAGAATGGGCTAGCGTGCCATCGATCGCCAGACTCTTTAAAGTCGAGTAGACTGAAATTTTTGACTCTACTTGAACTGTAGGTGACATGAGTTTCTATGCCTTGGGGGAAGCTAACCTTATGCCCTGCAGTGAACCTCGCTGACATTCACAGCAGTAACACAAGTGATTTGTCGGGCAGGCATAGCCATGACACCTCGTTGCCTAAACCAAGTGCTATACACAAATCCAAAATAAATTGCTCTACACTTAATATGTAGGCGTTACTATCTCCACTATACGCCTAGCGAGACAGGGAATTCGGCAACGGTTCCACAAAAAAAATTAGGATATAGACCCAAAATCTATATACCTACATATGACAAAATGTGATTCTCACATGTGTCTCCCAAATGGGTTACCTGAATTAAAATTATCAAAAGTGAAACAATATTCCGAAGGGATGAAATCAAATCAACATATAAACTCGAAAATACAGACATGGGATAGGATGAACTAATTACTTAAAGATGACATATTGTCCTCATCTGACACAAAAGGCTTTAAATCTTTAATGTGCCACTTACCAAGATCCGAACCATTTAAATCTGACAAACGATAAACCACTGGTGACAATTTTTCCTTGATAGTTGCTTCAATATACTTCGGTGCTAGTTTGGACATAAACTTGTTGACAGCACAAGACAAA